TGGGCAGGTCACTTAGCTTCTCTGGGCCTGTTTCCCTTCCAATTCTAAATCCTATGATCTTATGAATTTCTCTCCAAATAATATATAAACCATAGCAGGAGAACTAGACTAGCCTGGAGGTAGGCCAATCTCTCCCTACAGCTTCTCTAGGCACGATGTTGACCAAAGAGATGAATCAGATAAAGGACATCCTGCCCACTGTCATCCTGAGCTATATAAATGCAGAGCTTTTGAGAGGACATAAGCTATAGACAGCTAATAAAAGGATCATGAGAAACATATCCCTCAGCATTAACCCCAAGGTAGGAGCCTAAATAGTGTCAATTTTCTTTAAAAAAAAATGATTCTTTTCAGTAGCTTACAAGTACTTAGCGCTTTGTAAACCTTAAAGGGCTATCACAATGGAAGTTATTATTACTATGCTACCATCATACCTCTCCACACCTCATCCATTAGCTATAGTGTCCCAGAGAAACAGAGATTTGTTCAAGGTCACACAGCAAGCCTAGGGACAGTTAGTTTCAGCAATTCTTCTCCAAGGCTCCACGTGGTACACCAGACAAATCAAAGGTGGCCTCACTTACAAGAATTACAGAGGTAGAACTCAGTTCATCTAGGACTTCTGGGTCTGAGGGTTATCATCTGCCAAATCAGGGTATACAAATTACTTATTTTCTTTGCCTCATTTTCTTCCTAGGGCTGACAGGCAAGGCAGAGTGGCCCAGTGGAAAGAATGCTGTATTTGGAATTAGGAAGACCTGGTATCAAATCCTGGCTTTGCCCCTTCCTACTACTTGTGTGTCACAAGACTTGCCTAGAACATTGAGGTGGTAAGTGACTTGCTCAGGGTCACATACTATGCGCATCTGAAGTAGCACTTGAGCCCATGGCATCCTAAATCTAAGGCCAGCTCTCTATCCATTAGGCCACACTGCTGATTGGATAAAAGTTATCAATAACCATTTATTAAGCACCTACTATGTGCCAAGTACTTCGATAAGCACTGGAGATACAAAGAAAGACAAAACAAGACAAAAACAATCCCTCTCTCCACAAAAAAACCCACCCTATTTAAAAAACAAACAAAAAAACCCTAATCCCTGTTTTCAAGCTTAGAAAAGCAAAAATTAACCTTTCTGAAGTTGTCTCTCCTTTCATCGACCCAGAACATCTCAAAGCAAATTTTTCCTGGTATGCAAAATGAAGATGACTTTTCAAAGAGCTTAGAAAATGATCTTCAAACCTAGAGAGACATGGCCATTCTTGTTTACTGGATTTTGACCTGGACTCCTGACCATAAAGATGTTGCCATGGCAACCCTAAGCCCATAAGGTCCTTGTGAGGGAATGGGTCTGGATGTACAAGTTCCTGCATGTCTACACGCTGAACTTGAGTCACCCTCAGTTTTCCCATTTTCTGAGTTTGCCTGAAGGTAGAATGTTTAGTGAAGCATAAGGAATTGAACTTGCTTTGGCCCTAAACATTAAGGTAAGAAAAATATTATGAGTCATACTATCAACAGCATTAATATTTAACCATCATTTATTAATAGCCAATATATTTCTTTTCCAGAGAGTTTGGGGTATTTTTCAGGCCTTTGTTTCTACCCTATGAGGGAGAAAGGGAAAGGGAGAGAAAGAGAGAGAGAGAGAGAGAGAGAGAGAGAGAGAGAGAGAGAGAGAGAGAGAGAGAGAGAGAGAGAGAGAGAGAGAGATGGGAGGGGCTTTTCCTAATTTGCAGATAACTAAGCTAAGTCACACAGTATGTTGGCACAGGGGATTCTGTCTTTGGCCTTGTCAGGCAAGGCCTCAGTGCCCCCATCTCTTCCCTGGAGCCAAACTGCCCCATGAAATTTCATGAATCCAAAATCCAGTTGGAGTGGGGTAGTTTCTGCATCCCCTCACTCCATTTCCCAACTTCAAATTTCCCAGGATTTTTCCCAGTGCTGGATTGCTAACAATTTGGCTGATTTCAAGGTGACTGAGGGAGCAATCCTTTATGCATCTGGGCCCCAGCTGATTCCTGGGAAGAGAGTGATCAGATTTCAGCCCCACTTTTCCCTTTCATTCCAGAAAGCCTCTCACTTGGTGCCTGCTGTCCTAGTAACCCAGTCCAGACCTTATTACTTGGCTGCTGTCAGGTTCTTGGCCTGAGAACTCAACCTTGGCTTTTCAGGATGAGGGAAATAATAACCAACTTCATAAGCGCTGGAATTCTGGACCCCAAACTTCTCACCCTAGTCTCAGTATGCTTTTCAATCTTAGACATTTGCAGTACCTTTATGGGACACAGGCTGACCCCTAAATTGTACCCTTCACTCTCTCCTTTTCTTCCTCCTACAATGGAGGACATGAAGCATTGCTTTGGGGACACTGGCTTCTCATACCCAGAAACTCCTTCCTCTATCTCAGCTTCAGAGTCTGGCACTATCCTGCAGTTACTCCTTACTTTGCTAACAGAATATTCCCTTATTCTGATTGGGAACAATAAATGATCACTTTTCTCCTCTTCACTCATTCATTTATTAATTAATTCATTAACTCATTCATTCATTCATTCATTCATTCTTTACTATGTGCTAGGTGCTATCCATCCAAAGATAAGGATGATATACTCCCTAAGCTCAAGGAACTTACATAGGAGAAAATAACATGAACACAGCTAAATAAGTATAAAATATATTTAAAGTAACTTGGGAGTGGGTGGGTACTAGCAAATGGGAAAATCAGTATTGCCCTCTAGTAAATGCACAGGACAGCCTAGGACAAAGTTAGGATGAACCAGAGTTCTGCTCCTGGCCAGGGGCACTTCCCTCTGAACAAATTCAGCAACCCCCCTGCCCTGGGGGGTGCAGGGAAGATGGCTGTTGCTTGGGCAAATCTAGGCTTCCTTGCCCTAATCACCTTTGTCTTTGTAGTTTCCCTTCTCCTGCCTTCCAAAATCTGGTCTGGAAAGAATGCTAGAGCAGGAGGCAGATCTGGGCTTTCTTGGCTTTGTTGAGTGATCTTGGGCATCACTTAACCCCTAGCTCTCAGTTTTGAAAAAGGAGAACAAAGAATATATTCCTACCCTGTGTACCTCACAGGGCTATTGTGAGAAATACATGAGATGATGTATGTAGAAGTGCTCTGATAACCTAAAAGTGCTCTACAGGCATACAGGTGTGCATCTCCTCTTCCTCCCTCTTATTTCTAGGCACCTTCCCAAGCTCAATCCATTTCTGAGTGGTATTACCAGTTGCCTTCCCCCATCATGAAAATTGAATGGGCTTCAGTTCGGGCAGTGGGATGGGGGATATCCTGGAGACCTGTCCTTCTGGCCAATTTTTTTTGGGGGGGACAATACAGATTTGAGGCCAGATCTGTTGAGTCATCACATTAGCCAGCAATGGCGGGTGGGGGAGGGCTAGTTCATCTCCCCAATCACCTAGTAGTTCTCAGCAATACCTACTATAGCTGCATCCCTTACTTTCTCTTGGCACCTGCAGAAGTGCCAGCCCCATCCCTAAAAGGGCAGGAAACCGCTCCCCCTTGCCACTGTTCTGCAGATACCCCTGCTCAGTGCCTTCTCTGAATCTCCATAATTAGGACTCAGGCCATTATCCAATCAGTCCTTGTCTTTCTCTAATATGAGCATGGTGAGCAGCAGGTGGAAAGGTCACAGGAAAAGGAACAGATTGGCTCTTGTCCATCTGTAATACTCTCCTTCCCTTATTCTTAGGTACCCTCTTCTTGTTCAAAAGTCCCATGAGGAGATAGCTAGAAGTCACTGAATCCATTCCCCTTGCCTCTGGGCAGGTGATTCCCTGACTGAGAGGTCAAGTGGATTACCTTGAGGATCTGCAAGGGGGTGGGGTGAATCCAAGTCCCCCCTTCTTCAGCTAGAATCCCCTCCCTATTCTTGCTGCATCCCTGTCACTCAGATAGCAGCCCATGCTTAGTCCTTCCCCTTTACGCAGGAGTGTTGGGCACACCCCCTCTCTTCCCCCCAGCCCCCCACCCTAGGGAAATCATCACCCAGTACCAAGATAAGTCTCTTTGCAATAGAAGTAAGACCGGACCTCCAAGAATCTGCCTTGCTACTCCTACTTGCACTATCCTCTCTTGTGCCCAGGCCTCACTCACCCTTCCTCCGTATGGGGTGCGTTGCCATACTTTCCTGACCCCCAAGTTCCATCCCTGAGTCCCATTCTGCAGGAATCAGCTCCCTCCCCTCCTCCCACCCCCACCCCAAGCAAAGTGCTTTAGGTTTTAAAAAATTGACACTTTGGGCTCCAAGAACAATAGAGCCTATCTCTCTTCTTCCTTTGCCAAAGAAAGCATTGTTCTAAACCATCAGGGGCTGTGTCCACACTCCCTCCTTCTGCCTGCTTCCTTGTTTTCTTTAAAGGCCAAACTCCTCGGCAAAGGAGGAAAAAGCTCCATTGAAAATCTCAGCCCTTTCACCAGCCTCAAAGAAAATAGGGCTAGGAATGGGAGGAGGAGAATTAAGTCCACATCAGCAGAGCTTATCACTTGGAGTAGAAGCCCAACTCCTAGTGCCTTGGAAATTATACTAGCTTACACTAGACACCCGGCAGGAGGAAGTGGGGAATCTCCCCCACCCCTTCCAAAACACAGCCACTCCCAGTCTCACCTCTCCAGACTCCTCTTTCCCTTAGGCTTCTCACTGCTCTCTTCCTGTAATCCCCAAATCTCACTTCTCAGGGAAGCCGGAGCACCTCTGCGTCAGGCTCCAGTCCCATTCTACAGATGGGGAGGGGTGTCAATGTGCACATTGCACATCCGGCACCAGTGGCCTTAACACTGAATATAGGAAGCAGCCCCCTTATAACCACCCCGATGGAGCACCACGACCAGACCTATTCTGGGATACTCCTGGGGAGTGTAGGGGGCGGCAGCCTCCCTCATTCCCCAAAACTTCGAGATACAACTCCCCAACTGAACACAGGGAACAGTAAGGCAGTAGGGGTTAGGAGAGGAGGGAGACAAGGAACTCACCCAACATTTGGCTGAAAAGCAGCTGCTCCAGGTCCCCCAGCACAGTCACTACAAGCTCGGGATCTACCTTGAGGAAGGCTCGCTCTTCCTGGCCCTTGCCAGCGGGTGGTGGTGGTGCCCCCTTCTGCCCCTTGGCCTTGCTGGACAGAAGCTCGTCATCGGACTTACTGTCATCGCTGACACCCGCCTCAGGGGCCTTGCTGAGGGGCTTCACCTCAGCGTAGGGACCCCGGGGGATTCGGCTGGGCTTGCCCAGGCCCGGGGCCAGCGGGGCCAGCGGGGGCTTGGCTACCCCACCAGAGGTCATCTTGGCCTGAAACAGTGAATGTTCCGATTTGGAGAGTGTCTTGGACATGAGGGGTGCCTCTCGACCCTTGGGCCCCCCCTTGCTGAAGCCTTTAGGAGTCTTGGCCATATCGTCGCTCCACTGGGGCTCGTAGAGCTGCATCTTCTTCTCCGAGTCGGTCAGGAAGGAGAGGTTGGTGAGGGACTTCTGCTTGCGGAGGTTGGAAACCGGCGGCGGAGGAGGCCGGCTGTCCACGCTGCCAGACTTGAAGACCTTTAGCTCCCCGGTGCTGGCCTTGGCCACCCCGCTTCCTGGAGGTTTGGCCCGCTTGGGCATCATGCTCTTGCCCTCGCCCGCCTTCTTACCGAAGCCCCTGAGCTCTTCGGAGCCCTCACCACCGCTCAGTTCCACATCGGGTTGCAGGCTCTTGAGGGAGGTGCCCAGCATCCTGCCCGCCAGGAACGCATTGAAGATTCGGGCGTCTGGAATCACGAAGGGAGAAGAGGAGGAGGAGTAGAAGGAGGAGGAATAAGAAGAGAAAGAGGGGAGAAGAGAGTGGAGGGAGGGAGAGAACCAAGGGGTGCCGAGGAGAGGCGAGAGGAGGAGGAAAGAAGAAAAAGGAAAGGAGGAACGGAGACGAGCAAGGGGGAATGTGGAGGAGGAGGAAGAGAAGGAAGGAAAGGGAGGAAAGAAAAAACGGGGGAAAAAGAGAGACAGAAGAAAAGAAGGCGGGAGAAAGCGAGAAAGGGTGGGGGAAGAGAAAGGGGTGGAGTGGGGAGAAACAAAAATAAAAATAAATAAAAAGATGGATGGAAGAGATGCCCAGCCCTTCAGCCACTCCGAATTCGCTGCCGCAGCAGGCAGACGCACGGCGAGGACTGGGCTTTTCAAGCCTGGCCGCGACCGAGTCTGGCTCTCCCAGCTGCTGCTGCTCCGTGCGCTGTCAGCCCCCGGCTCCCTCACACCCGGGGCCAGCGCCCTCCCTCTGCTTGCCTCTGCTGCCGCGGGGAGAGATGCTCAGGGCTCGGAGCTGAGGAAGAGGGGAGGGGATTTAAAAAAAAAAAAAGACGAAAGGGAGGGAGGTAAGAGTGAGCGCGAGAGGGCGAGCGAGCAAGCTAGCAAGAGAGAAATCTATTTCTGGACCGGGGAGGGGGAGGTGTCTATGAGCTGGGAGCCCGAGGGGCGGGGTAGGAGCGGGGAGGTGGTCGATAAGGGATCGGAACATTTTTTCTCACCGTTCAGCTGCCGAGAGACAGAAGCCCGCCCTGGAAGGCAGCTATGCCCTGGAGCTGCAGGGAACGCAGCCTCCCCCAGCCTCGTATTTTGGCTGAGTCTGTCTGCAGGAGGCAGGATTGGGGGAGGGCGTCTAGGGGGCAAAGAGGGGGCGGTGAAAAACGGGATCTGGGTACTGGTAGGCTGGGGAGACTCCAGGGGCAATAGGATGAGAGAGGGAGGTTTATAAACAGGAGGATGGTTTTCCCCGTCCGCTAGCCTCCCTCCCTCCAGACCCCTGCAGAGGATTCCTCTAAAAGCCAGAAAGGGGTTTGGGTCAGTTCTAGGGATTGTTGCCACGCGCCCTCAGACTCTCATTCCCAGGGTAACTGCTGCACCTAGGCTTTCTTACTGGGTGTGTCTTGTCTGGAAAGTGACATCTACACGGAAGGTGAGAGGGCTGGTAAGGGAGAGAGAGCCCAGGTGTAGTTCAGTCCAGTGCCCTTCCTTCCTCCACCTCAAGGAGTCAGTTGAATTGGGTAGAGGTGAGAGGTGAGACAGGTGGGAAGTGAGAACAGGTGGATGGTGGAGAACCCAATGCCCAGGCAAGGAAAGTAGATGGGGAAGCAGTGTGTGTTAAGATCTAGGGGGTCTTCAGGGAAGCAGCATCCAAAAAAACACTGGTTCTGGAGCCCAAAGTTCTCAATTTTAATCAAGCGCTGGATGCCTCTTTGATCCTCAGCAATTCACTTGACTTTCCTAGGTCTCCGTTTCTTGATTAGTAAAATGGGAATCATTATACTCGTCCTTCTGATCTCACTGGAGGAATGCAAGCTATTTTTATAATGTGAGGAAGAATCAGGACCTTGAGCCCATCACAGATTGTGTTCAGATCACAGATGTGAGCCAGTCTGGACTTTGGGGGCTGTGTGGAAAGGTGGTGCAAGATGAGATGAGGCGCACCAAGAGGCCAGCAAGTGTGCATCCTATGTCCAAAATCAAGGCAGGGCAGAATTTAAGGAAACACACCAAGAGAATCTCAATTCCCCTTCCCTCCCCCCACCATGGCTTTGAGATGAGTGAATACCAGGGCTCTAGAGAGAATTGGGGTTGGAGAGGTAGAGGTGGTAAGAGATGATTCATTGCTTTGCCAACAGTGGTTGTAAAGTCTGTTCTTTTCTTGTTAGTCATTCAGTAAACATTTATGATGTGCCTAGTACGCACCAGACACTGCCCTATGCTCCGGGTCCTCAGACTCTGTCCTCTGATATCATGAAGTCTGAGAAAATCACTTAACTTTTCTGGGCCTCAGTTTACTCATTTACAAAATTTGGGACTTAGATGACTTCTAAAGCCCATTCCAGTTCTAAATATGAGATCCTTTGTATCATCTGAGCCATAATATCACAGAATCACAGAGTTAAAAGAGACAACAAAGGGCAGCTAGGTGGTGCACTGGATAGAGCACTGGCCCTGGAGTCAGGAGGACCTGAGTCAAATCTGACCTTAGACACATGATACTTACTAGCTGTGTGACCCTGGGCAAGTCACTTAACCCTGATTGCCTCACCAAAAAAAAAAAAAGACCTCAGTTGTTATCTGGTCCAACATGTACCTGAAAAGGAATCCTTTCAACACCTTCCAGCCTCCACCTGAACATCTCTGTAGTGATGGGGAGCTCCTCTCAGTCAAGGAAGCCCAATCCCAGTTAGTACAAGGGTTAGGAAGGTTTTATTTACATATAGCTGAAATCTGTCTCTGGAATTCCCACCTATTGTGCCTTCTGAGGCCAACCATAAGAACTCTAAGGGTTTTTTATCAGAAACTTAAATATTTAGTTAGAAGATTATTTTGTAAGAGTGGGTTTCTGTTGGACCTTCCAGAAGCATAGAAGGGAAGGGCAAGGGTGAGTTAGAGGTTGCTGATAGCTTGAAGAACAAACAAGTAATAAATCAGGAAGACTTCTTGGAGGAAATAGCCTTCAGTTGCAATGAAATGGAGAAGAGCTATAGGATATGGCAGGCAGAAGGAGGTGGTAGCTTGTTTTACCTTCAATGTAAAAGCACAACAGACAATAGAGAGGGCAGCCTGGACAAAAGACATTTGAAGCAGGCAATGTAGCTGTAACTGAGGGAGTAGAACAGAAAAGGGGTTGGCTGGGACTTGGCAAGAGATGAGCTCAAGGAGGGAGGGCCCGGTTTAGTTCTTTGCTTGTTATGTGTTAAGGCAGCACAGGATGAAGCGCCAGGCTCATGGCTCTTAAGCACAAAGATCTGGAGCTGAAAGGGACTGCAGAGGTTGTTTTCAACACCCTTGTTTTAGAGATGAGGAAACTGAAGCTCAGAGACAGTCACTTGCCCAAAGCTATAGGCCATAGTCTGTCTGTCTGTCTGTTAATAAACATTTTTTTAAGCACCTGCTATGTGCTAAGGATACAAAAAGAGGCAAAAGACAGCCTCTGCCCTCAAAGAGCTCATAATCAAATAGGGAAGACATCAAGCCAACAGATGTGCCAACAGATGTGCACAAATAAGCTATGTACAGGATAAATAGGGAAAAAATTAAGAGGGAAGTCACTAGAATTAAGAGGGGTTGGGAAAGGCTTCCTATAGAAGATGAGATTTTAGTTGGGATTAAAGAAAATCAGCAGGCAGAGATGAAGAGGGAGAGCATTCCAGGCCAGGGGGATAGTCAGAGAAAATTTCTGGAGCCAAGAGATGGGGTGTCTTGTTTATGGAACAGCAGGGAAGCCAGTGTCCCTAGATTGAAGAGTATGCGGTGGAGAGTAAGATTATAAGATTTATGAAACATCAAACAAAGGATTCTGTATTTGATCCTGGAGGCAATAGGGAGCCATTGAATAAGGCGGTGACATGGTTACACCTGCCCTTTAGGAAAATCACACATTGGTGGCTGAATGGGGGATGGACTGGAGTGGGGAGAGATTTGAGGCAGGAGGACTCACTGGCAATTCTGTTGTTGTTCAGTTGTGTCCAACCCTTGGTGGCCCCATTTGGGTTTTTTTTGGCAAAGATACTAGAGCAGCTTGCCATTTCCATTTCATTTTACAGATGAGGAAACTGAGGGTTAAGTGACTTGCCCAGGTTCACATAGCTAGCAAGTGTCTGAGGAAGATGAGTCTTTCTGACCCCAGGTCTGTCACTCTATCCGCTGCTCTACCTAGCTGCCAGGAGCCTATTGCAATGGTCTATCAGTGAGGTGATGAGGGCCTGCACCAGCGTGGTGACAGAGTCAGAGGGGAGAAAGTGGAGTATTTGAGAGACACTGAAAAGGTAAAATTAACAGACCTTGGCAACAGATTGGATATGAGGGGTGAGAGACAGTGAGGCATGACGATGACACCTAGGTTTTGAGTCTGAGAGACTGGGAGGATGGTGTTGTCCTCTACAGTAACAGGGATGGTAGGAGGTTGGGAGGGTTTAGGGGAAAAGTTAATGAATTTGGTTTTGGACGTGTTGAGTCAAAAATGTCTACTGTACATTCAGCAGTTGGAGGTGTGAGATTAGAGGTCAGCAAGAGAGATTAGGGTAGGGTGGGTAGATTTGAAAGTTGTCAGTACATAGATGGTAATTACATTCATGAGAGCTTATGAGATCACCAAGTGAAGTATCATAGAGAGAGAAGAGAAGAGGGCCAAGGACAGAATCCTGTGGGACATCTATAGTTATAGCATGTGATCTGGATGAGGATTTGTCAAAGGAGACTAAGGGGGTGGTCCGATAGGAGAACCAGATGCAGAATTGGGATTTGAACTCAGGTCCTCTGACTCCAAATACTCTGTCTTTCCCACTGTTTCATGATGCTTTGTGGATGGGGTGGGGGGGTAGGAAGAAACAAGATTTCCAGGTAAAGAATGTCAAGTTTATTGAATGGGCTTAGCAGATGGCCGGCACATCCTAAAGCCTGACCCTAGAAAAGGCCAGAGCAAGGAACCAGGTTCCATGTGGGAACTTATCTCTCTCTAAGAGTGTTTTCATACATGGACAAGACTTCAGAACCCAAGACACTGAATATTTGCTCATCATTGCAAATATCATCCCAAGTATTAATCACAAAAACGAGTGAGCATGGGAGGGCCGATAAGGAAATAGAAAACTCCAGTGCCTGGATCTCATTCCTATTTTCCTAGCTGTAGAAGTAGGGAAAGCAACAGTATAAGGAAGAAGGAAGAGGATCAGAGGATGAAGGGGCAGTGCTGGTGATTCGGCAGGGAAGAGGCAGCTTTGGAGATTGACTGTTGAAAAGGAGG